TAAGTTAAGGCTTTAAGTTCTTCCTGTTAAGGAGGAACTATGAAACCAGTGAAGAGAAACATGCCTTATTTTTACAGTGGACTCTCACTTTGTGTTGGAGAACGGGGTCTGGCCTGTGATGCGTCTTATCACAGGTGACAGAATTACTGGAGCACTAAGAACACCACAGGGTAACCTCTCACCTCAGAGCTGTCCCACAGCAGGCATCCTGGAGACAGTGATAAAAGGAGACTCTCTGGTATGAGAGAGTGAGAGAGACCTACTTTTAAAAGACCATAAACCACAGAACCCTGAGGGTGAGGGAAAAGAAACAGGAGGGCAATTGGGTTCAAAGAAGAAACAATCCCACTTCCCATTTCTTTTAAGAGAAATTTAAATCGGAATAAATGATGGAAAAACAGCAGCTTCCAAGGTTAGACTCCCTGTTATATGTAACACAGACACAGACACACACACGGACTTTATAATATATAATGCAGTTGTGACCTGCAATAGTGGCCTGGTTGTTACAGGAATAAACTGAGGTTAAGGAATTTTATGTTAGCATAAATATAAGCACAGAAGAGGATATATACAGGCTAAATGCTAAAGAATAAATCTCAGTTTTTATCTAATTGTTTTCTTACTATTTCAACAATTGTTTTAAAACTGTTTCTCAAGTTATGTTACACTTTTCAAAGGAAAACCATGTTAAGTTCTGAGATAAAACAGAGGAGCTGAAAATGTAAGGTTATTTTATTCTTGGTACATTTCCTCCCCTCTCCCCTAGACCTTGTCGCTGCAGCCTCCTAACTGCCCTCCCTGCGGCTGCCCCAGCCCCCAATCCTCAGCACAACAGCCAGGGTAGTCTCACTAAGACATATACCGGCTCCTGGGCTACCTTGTTCAAAATCTTCCAGAGCTTTCTACCTCTCTCAGATAAATGATGAAGGGCTCACAGTACCCCTTGAGGCCCTACAGGACCTAGTCCAGCCCCCACTGCCTCTGACTTCATTTTCAACCCTCCTCTCCCTCCCACTTCCGGGCGTGCTGTTCTGTCTGTCTGGACAGTTCTTCCCCCAAATATCTCCATGGCTCTCTCTCTCATGCTCTTCACTCACATGTCATCTTTCCAGGAAGGCCTTCCTTGATGACCCTTTTTAAGACTGTAAATCACCCCCCTCCCTGGCACTTTCTGAACCCATGGTTTGCTCTATTTTCCTCCATGTTACTCATCACAACCTCACATGCTATATATTAATATTTTACTTACTATGGGTCTCTCCTAACAGAGACATTTCGTGTTTTGTTCAATGCAACATCTTCCAGTGCCTAGACATACAAGTGGTACTCAATATTACTGGATAATATATGAATTAACTCATTCTATAAAAATTAACTATAAAAACAAGTTAATTTACAAAAAGTAACTACTAGGTAATTAGGTTAGACTATATTAAAACCAGAAACACAGCTTTCTAGATTTATGCATGGCCTAGACCATAACCATAAAGCAGTCCATTTTAATTGAAAGCCCAAATTGGTTTCTCTTACACAGACACATATGTATGAATTTATACATATATCTAGAATAAAAATTTATCTTTACAAAAAACCATGACTGCACGATTTTTAAAACACCATAGGCTTTTTTTCCTTGAGGCAAAATTTATTCAGCTAGGCGAGTCAAGTAAGACAGGAGACTGAGGATTAGTTTCAAAATTGCTTAAAAAGTAGAAGGGGTCCTTTTTTTCAAAATCCCAGAGAAGCAAAGGCTTTTCATGGACAAAGGGATAATTTCTCTAGAATATAAAGAACTCCTAGAAATTGATAAGAAAATGACATAATAACTCAGCTGTAAATTGGGCAAAAGATATAAACAGTTCACAGAAAAAAAAAATGCAAAGGATCCTGAAACATGTAAAAAGATGCTCAACCTCATCACACAATGAAGCCTGCAAATTAAAATTATACTGAAAATGCTTCTGTCATCTAACTGATTGGCAAAATCCACAGGTTTGGCCACACACTGGAGAGTGGTGAAGCAGCATTCTCACCTATTTCTGGTAACAGGGATGACAGGTACTGAGCCTTTGCACAGCAGTTTGACAGAAGTGTTCAAAATTATAATTGCCTATACTTGTAGTCTCTTTAATCCTATTTCTCCTAATTTATCCTTCAGATATACTCGCATAGATGCAACGTATATGTGCATGTATATGTACGAGGTTATTTACTGCATTAATATTTATAAGAGCAAAACCCTGGAAACGACCAAATGTCCATAATTAGGGAAGAAGCTAAATCCGCACAATGCAGGTCTATGAGGCAAGAGGGAAGCCACACTGGCCTCCTCTACACAGTGACATGAGAAGACCGATAACATGCATTAATGAGAAAAACACCGTGCAGAATTGTGTTAACTATAAGAAAAATCAAAATATATATTCATAATTTCTTACATTTACATAAAGGAAAGAAATATAAGAAACCAGCACACTGGGGGCCCGCAGCGGGGGAGGGGGGTCGGTGGTTCTGGGAGGGTAGGCAGGGAGGAAACTGGGGTGGGGAGAAGGCTTTGCATTTTGCACTATGCTCCCTTTTCATATTGTTTGGGTTTTTGAATTGCTTACATTTATTATCTACCAAAAAATTAAGGAAAGTATGTCCCGTGGCTCAGATTCTACCCCCATCAGACTTTCTCAGGTACCCTCCGGGGTAGGTAGAGAGTGTTTGTGTGGGGGGGAAGACAGGTGGGCCCTGGCACTGGTATTTCCCTACCTTGGGATTGTGGTTTTTTGCCCCTGGAGTATGAGCACTGGGAGGTCAAGGACTAGGGCTCCCGGGATGGCCTGGTTAAGTGCTGCAGGAAAACACTCCTAGATTCTCTTCCCGTGTCTCAGTCTATTGTTTTGTCTCCCCTTGACTCCTCTCAAGCAAACTCAGGAAACACTTATCCTCTCTGCTCTGATCCACAAGCTGCTGCAGCTTCTCTGGAATATCTTTCTTGCTCATCAGAACCATACCTTACACCACCTAAACATGGTATTCTCCTGGACCCCATTACCTCCTAAGAGAGATGTGTTTGTGGCGGTGCTGACATGTAATATTAATAACATATTCATTCTAGTTTATATACGCCCACGAGAGGAGTCACATAGATAATGTCTGTTTCAACGTTCAATAAAATTCAGAGCGAGAAACATTTATCGAATGCCAAATACGTACTATAAACAGTCCTTGGTCTCATGAAGCTCACAATCTGTTAGGTTAATTTGCCCTACATCATATTTTTTTTTTCCAAAATACATTTAATAAAGGCTTTTATATGTTGTCGATGATACATTTCTTTACACCTAAATAAACAAATTACTCCATGTTTTCCAGCCCAGAAACGGGGCATACCAAATGACTATCTTAATTGTTCCTTTCTACATTTAACCCTTTGCACTCGGATGTCGAGTGTGACTCGACACGGTTAGCAAAAATTATAGAGATTAAAATTACTCTTTGAATGTATCAATAATTTGAAATATAAAAAAATCCAAATAAATAAGTTTGTATGAAAAGAAACTCCAGTTTTTTATTCTACTGCTGCACTCTGTAAAACCTGGGGTATTTAAAAAATTAAATCCCGAGTAGAATAAAGGAATCGAGAAAAAAGCAAGCAAGTGCAAAGGGTTAACTTTATTCATTTCAAATCTTTTCCAATTCTCCTGTTTTATTAATGTTTCCCTAGGACTTAAAAATTTAGATCCTAACACATGGGGAAGTTAACTTTCTTTAAGAACCCACAATTGGAATTTATAAGCTCTGTGTTCTTCACTTAGACTTTATGAGAAACAAGTGGATCAGTTAGAGGATGTTTCTTGCTTGGTTTAAAAAAAAAAAGAAAGAAAAAAATCCATTTTAAAATGTTAAATTTCTATAGTCTTTCAGGACATAGAAGACATTTAGAATTTTCAGTACAAGTACAAAGAGTCTTTGGGGCAGCTAAAGAAGATAAAAGAATTTTCAGTACATTGTACACTTTCAGAAGAAGAATATTAAGAATAAAAATAGTTTCCCAATTCAGTCATTCTTTGGGATTGATAATTTATTCCTGATGGTCCCCCAAAAGAAGGGAAGAAGAGAAAAAGAATATACTTGGCTCTTCTAACAGAAATTATTCATAGCTCTTTTCCCTCATAGGATAAAGGACTATTACATCTTCCATAAAATCCCTTTCAGTATAATTTTATGATGGGTCTGCATTTTATAAAACATGTTTTGTAACCAAAAAAAGGAAAAGAAAAAACAACCAACAAGAGAATCATTTTACAATAACTCATTTCACTGATTTCATTAAATTTCCAATTCCAAATCTTTCATCCTTCCCATAAAAATTAAACAGCCCATGTTTGAAATTCTCCTGGTAAGTATATTAAAACTGAAAGTTTCATGACTGCCACCTACTGGTAAGGGGGAAAAGGACAACTTATTTTAAAAGTTTACATTTTTCTCTCAGATTTTCCAGTTTAAAGTTTAAATATTTTACATTGAAACATATTAAAGGTTGCACACTAGGACATTCAGAACATTTTATATGTATAAATTCAAATGAACTGACCATATGCCCCTAGTTTTGAAAAAGAAAGCAAATTGGGATGCTTCCCTTTTACAATGGAATACTTTTCCTAGTATTATAACAAGAAGTGACACAGAGGGATTGTACTACCCAATTTAAATTTTGCTTTTGTTTTTATAGATATGGTTCTAGTATAATGATGATATTAATGGTTACTGAAAGGTCAGTTGGACAAATCAAAGTACATATGGTGAAAATCTCTCATGAGAGATGTCATTAACTCCATCTTCACAAATAAATGGTGAAAACAAAAGAACTCCATTGGCAGATAAAGTACACAACAGGAAGAGTAACCAGAATTTTCCAAGGTAGTATGTGACTTGAGAGGGAACATTCATATAGTCACCTTTTGCATATAGGAAGCACCTCGTCATTTATAATTAATGAAACATACCTGGCTTAAAATGTGGTAGGGAATGAACTCCAGGCCATGTGTCCTCATTTGGCGTTCCAAGAACCTGGTGGAGAGCAGGAAATTGTGGAAACAGACTTATTATTTCCAAAGCACTCAAAATTTTCAAGTGTAGAAAACAGTACACTGCACATTATGAAACTCTGCATTTCTTTTTTTTTTTCCATTATCATGTGCCAGGGATTTTATTGCAGTAAAAATAAACGCAGCTAAAGAGCCACCCAAGATGAATCTCTGTGTTTTAACAGATGCAGCTGAATGTGGTAAGACAAGTTAAATCTGCTATATTTTATCAAGTGCAAACTTAGTAAGTAGGCGAAGGAATCAAACGATAAGCTGTCGTTTTCACGAAACCGCACAAAGTCGGTGTGTGTCCTCATGATTCTTTCATGAGCTCTTGTCCTTCACTCCAGCATCGCACGGCTCATCATTTAACAGTTCTAAGAATTCTGTCATTTCTTCTCCACATCCTCCGTCCAGGCATCACAATGTTTCAAAGAAGGAAGATCGACAGCTTAGGGTGCTCAAATTCTCTTATTACCGGTAAAATCTTTACGTGATTTACAGTTTCCTCTTGCCAAAATGTTGTTCTTCCTATGCTTTTTCCTTTCTCTATCTATACTTACATCTTCTTTCCCCATTTACTTTTCTGTCACCACAATGTTTGATCTGGTGAAAGGAATTAAAGGGCAACATTCCAGCTCACGTCTAACTGGGCAGGTTTCATCTGAGTGTTTAGATCCACACGGTTTTTATACTCAATCATCAAGGTAAATTAAATCACTGAGTGAGAACATCAGAGTTTACGGGTTAAGCGCTCAGACCCTAAAGGCAGACTCCTTGGGTTCAAATCCTTGCTCCCCTACTTTCTAGCCATATAAACTTGGGCAAGAAATAACCTCACTGAGCTTCAATTTCCTCATTTGTAAACTGGAAGGTAGTAGCACCACCTCCCTCATCTGTGAGGAGAACACTACCTGGCACACAGTAAGCACTAGGTAAGAATGAGATACCATTCAAAGAACCCATAGAAAACCAGGTCAGGTCAGGGAGGCTCCAGCCAAGCGGAAGAATCTAGACCACCCACTTTTTTCCATAGTGACTCCCTGTTCCGGGGAGTCAGTGCCGGATGCTGTCATTCAAACTGTGTTGGACAAACACAGATAGTTAAACAGGATAGAAAAGGCAAGCAATAAAGCTGAGGGCTGGCGAAGGGAGATTATCATGGGAGGAAATGAAGCCTATTCCCTTTATCTCTGAGGATTAGCAGGCACCGCTAGGCAATAAGGCAACAGAGGGCTCTAAGGATTTATGCATTTATTTACTGGGGGGGGGGCAGGGCTGTGTGGTCAAAGGGTGGCATACATACAGTGAGTGCTTGACTCGCTGCTTCCTACTCTGCTGAATCAGGGATAAATACATGTATTTACGTTCCTCACTGAAACATGAATCTGGTGCCATCAAATGAGATAGTACAATTCTTCTTTTAAATCATACTTGATTTTTCAAGCACGGATTACTGCAAACATTAATAGGTAGCTCTACACAAATAAGGTCACATTATTGATGGGCTGCGTGGGGAGGAGGCAGGCAAGAGGGTTGGAAGAGTCGTAAGAAGGAAAAGAGACAAAGGCATTGTCTCTGACATAAACGATTGTGATAACAGTGTCTCCACAAAAGGCACTTTCCCCTTTCTTTTCAATAACTCCAATCATTATTTCAAGAGAAGGAGACAAGTCTGCCGACAGCGCACGCAGCTTGTCTGGGAACGCTCCACTTTGTTCTCGCACTGAGATTTGCATGAAGGACAAAGGAGTTCAACAGTACGAAACTTTAGCAACTGAACAGAGGAAATGTCAGCTCCAAATCATGACTGGAACACAGCCAATCCATCACATACGAAATAGAGCCTCTGTTAAGTCTCATAGACAATGAAGAGTCTAGCCCTAATCTAATCTAAACCTGACCTCTTGCTCCTAATAAAAAGTGTGATTGTTCCTTTGACCATCTCTGTTTTCACAACAGGTATTATCCTTACCCATATCCAGTGCTCTATTTCAAAATGATTATTAAATATATTTAATATATATTTATTATGTAAATAAATAAATATATTTTTATATATATTTGGCCGTTTCATAAAAATTGCCAGGAAAGAGAAAATATATAGGTCTTTTTTTTTTTCAATTATAGACTTCACTATTGCAATTCCAGACCACAAATTCTTCTCCTGCCTACAATCATGGACCATTTGCACAGGAAATGCAAAGTAGGCAGAAAGTGGGCAAAGGAAAAGAAGATTTAAAAATTAATTTTCCTTCCTGTAAAAGCCATTTTAGAAAGGAGAATTTGGGTTAAATGTCTTATTAGCAACAATTGGCTACCCGTGCACTAGGGACAGAGGGTGTTTGCTTTCTCTGATGCCGGATTTTCATCTGTATTAATTGACTAATAAATTCTATTACCAAGACACCTTTAAATTACAAGGGAAAAGAGTATTCTCTAAAACCCCAAAATAATCTTTTGCAAATAAAAGAGAAATAAAGAGAAAATTGCATCTGGTGTGCCATCGATGTTTAAAATGTGGTCCTCACATCTGTGAATAAGCAGGTTAATGACATCTGAGGCCCCTTTCCATCTGATATACTTAGAAGTCTTCTACATATTCATTTAAACAGCCTCACCTTAAGCCTGTGTACACAGCTTGTACATCTCCCTGTCCCTTTACTGGTCCAGCTCTTTATTCAGCTAACACTCACTGTGCTCCTCACAGGAGACATAAAGATGGCCCTTGGGCTCTGCCTTGAGGTGCTCCTGGTCTAGTGAGGCTTATGGAAGATCAATGATGCAGTGACAACTGCCTTCAACATAACAAGCGTTCTCTTGGAGGAGTGGGAGAGTAAAGTGAGAACATGCTTGAGTCTCCCTGGGGGCAGGGAGAGAGGCTACTGGGAGAAGATGGTTAGTGGGAGGGGGAAGACTGTCTTTGCCAAGTGAAGAAGGAGTGGGAATGACAGCAGAGTATCCAGTTTCAAGGACAGGCTTATGTCAAAATACTTTCTGTTCTCTGAATTAATATGCTGCTCAGCCCCCATGCCTTCTGACAGTGGCTGCCTCTGCCTCTGATTTGGCCAGCTGAACCTCCTACCTCTATTGCAGCTTCAGCTCAAGGGTCACCTTGCCCTGAAAGACTTTCTGGACTCTCTGTTTTATGTTGTTTCTTTGTGATGTCCAACTGCTTTGTGCAGACTTCTATCATGGGACCTAACCACTGCCTGGTAATTGCTAGAATACTCATCTGTCTCCCTTCTGAACCATGGACCTCAGAGTATATGATGCTCTCTTTTAGATGCCTGGAGCTTTCCATGTGCCTGGCACCAGATGCATACCCAGTAAACACTGACTGGTTGACTGAATGAATGAGTGAATGGTGTGTGTGGATAACAGTTTGAGTTCAGTGTGACCAGACTGCAGGCTGGATGATAGGATGGAAGCTGAGGGCAGACACTGAATCCAAGGAGACTGCATTTTATCTCTGTTTCAGGGTTTTTCCAACTGTAGGTCACGTGACCCATTGGTGAGATTGTATGTAAAATTCATCTAGAGAGTTGACATAAGAATTTTTTAAAAGATGAAATACAAGAGAAGATATCAGAGAGCAACATACATGGTAAAGATACATATTGTCTTATGAACCTTTTGTTCAAGTTATGTCTATGTGTGCATAATGAGTCATGATGTGAAATGTGTATCTTGCTGTTTAAAAGCCACTCGTATGGGGAAAAACAAGTTATTGGCTAAAATCAAGAATACCAGAGATAAAGCAGATTTGGAGTCTAAGGGTGATGAGTTTAGTTCTGGACCTATTACAAGTTAGAAATGCCTGTAGGTCAAAATAGGGCAGCTGGGAATACAGATCTGGATGTTGGCAGAGGAATTTCAGATAGAGAAAAAACATTTGGAACTCTCCAGTACATTATATACATGGTCATAGAAAGTAAATGCCAAAACAGATACTAGCTACAAAATGTTCTTACTCCCCTATGTTCAGACATACACAGTTGCCAGAGGTGCACCTCGGTGATTTCCTAGACAATTTAGCATCTTCTACGAAACACAAGGGACAGGCCCACCTTAGCAGTGGCGGTCTGCACCCCTGACCCTGATGAACGATGAGGTAATGACCTCAAACTTACCCTTCTGGGTTTGCCTGTGCCCTGGCTGGTGTGGCAGAGGTCCTGCCCACCACGTCAGCCTCTGTGTTGGGCAGGGAAGAGCACCTCCCTGTGAAACATCTACTTCCCAAGTAAGAGAAGAAAAGTGAATTCTAAACTTCAAGAGCTCAGAGTTCAAGAACTAGTGTTTGTCAGAAATATTTACTTATCCTTCTAAACTATTAGCAGTTCCATTCATTCTCTCATTTCATAGTCTTTGCTTTTGCACAGGGCTTGGGGATGCTAAACACGAGTCCATGGGCTTTCCCTGGACAATGCCTGTGGGTTGTTGAAGTAGAACAAGAATGCTGACAGTTCTTCCTGGGTCCAGGGGACCGAGAAGCCTCTAACAGAGACTACAGCACAGAGGAATTCTAGCTTATGGGATGCAAATAAAACTGGCTCACACAAGTGTGTCCTAATGAAGCGATGTGGAAAGTGCTCGGTTCTTAATTCAGGCTGTTAAGTTTTATGAGCACTACTGCAGTGGCGATGAGGATTTTAAACTGACTTAGCCGTGAACTCTAAGGGAATAGAGAACATCCTAATAACTTTGATGATTTTTAAACTGAAACTTTGAAAGTCTACACATGCAACATCTCTAAAAGAATGATTGCTTCATAGCTGTACTACTTTAGGTTTAGAATATATTTAGTGAGAAGTCCTAGAAGAAACTTACAAAATGGCTCAGCAGAATTCGGCTGCGATATACACCCGCTCTGGCACAGATGGTATGAAGTTCCTAGAAGAGCCAGAGAGAGAAAGCAGAACTTCCTAATTCTTATCCTGACGCTCTCCAGCTAGAAAAATAATGATTGGGCAGAAATGCAGA